GTTCAGTCAGCCATGTGGAATCCTCCGACTCTAACCACCCTGCCACCAGCTGGCCCAGGTCATTGTTTTCTCTTACCAGAATTTTTTTTTTGGTGGGGGAGGTTTTTGCTGTAGGGTGCATGCGCTCTCCAGAAAGACAGAGAGACAGAGACAGAAAGTGAGAAAACACCCCCCTGGGGGATGGCCACACCGCAATGCCTTCTCCTTTCTCCTCTCGGGATCTCCGGGACTCACACACATGAGTTTAAGCCACTGGGTCCAGGATTCAAACTGATTACATAGGAGTCCAGCAACATAGCCATTATGCCAACTGCTGGTCCCCTCTTACCAGAATTTTTATGCAGGCTTTCCATATTTCCTCACCTGCTCCCCTACAGTTTGTACCCCACCCCCCAGCAGCCATTCTCGCCTGTCCTTTCAGGACCCTGCACTACATCCCTTGTTCAGAATATGAAGGCAGGTCCTGTGCGGCCAGGGCCCACTGCGCTGCTGCTCCTCTCTCTCCTTTCCCCCCTCTCTCTGCTGCAGCCACTCTGACCTTTCAGGTCTCACGCAGGAGCCCACAGGCGTTCGTGGCTCAGGGTCTTGCACTTCTGTTTCCCCTGCCTGGAACACTCTCGTTGGCTTTAAGACCTTCTCTCTTACCCCTTCAGGTTTCTTTCACATTTGACCTTCTCAGTGGACCTTCTCTTGTCTGTCACGGCTCCCTCCTTGAAACGAAAGCTTTGTGAGGACAGGGACTTCATTATCTGTCCTGTTCACTGTTAGCTCACCACCTAGAACTGAGCCTGGTAGTGTGTGGTGGGTACTCAGTAATTATTTGGTGAAGGAAAGATTGGAAGAAAACTGATATTTACCTTACTATTGTGTTCATCAGACTCTCTGGTACAAAGTAGGTGAATTACTTGTTGATTGAATCGGTTTTCTTTTACTCTAATCTCAGATGTTCTTTTATCTTCTCTCAAATTTTTTACCTTTATTTTCTTTAAAACTATTGAGTTATTGGAGAAGTCATGATGTATTTTTTCTATGTGTTTCAATGCAAAAGTGTATCGTGACTTATTTGACGGCCCAATAGTTTCAAATTTTTCACCTCTTGAAAGATGCCAGTGAGTGTCATGGTGGTTAAGGCAGCTGGATTCCACATGGCCAGTTATGCAGTTCAAGTTCCTGACCTGGCAGCTTCAAAACACAGGCCAGGCACATGCACGTATATGTGTATATGAGTATACAATCAAAATCCTGAGAGGAGAATAGAGGAGAAGGGATTGCAGCGTTGCCATCCCTCCTGGGGGTTGGGGAGGGGAGTTATTTCTCTCTCTCTCTCCCTCTCTCTCTCTTTCTCTCCAGTAAGTGCACATGCCCTATAGCAAAAAAAGGAAAAGAAAAAGATGGCTATGATTAGTCTCTGGCCCCTCCCACTTGGCTTTCTACCTAGCACTTAATAGCCATTTTTTTCTTTTTCTTTGGCACAGGAGGTATATATGTGCACACGTGCATGCGTGAGAGAGAGAGGGGCTTCCCCAGTGCGACATGGTCACACACAATCCTTTCCCTCTGTTTCTATTTCCCATCAGGATTTTGGGCATGAACCTGCACTCGACATTTCTCAATTTACTAAGAATGGAATTTGAACTGTCAGCTACGTAGGATCCAACTCCCAATGCACAGCACTTAAGCATTGTGTTAACTTGTGAATGGGATTTGCTGACTAATTAGATGTGTGACTAATTAGAAAGACTTGCTACACAAAGTCTATTAAGACTAGCCAAAGTCAGAGCAGAAGGTATTTGCTGGATCCTAAGAGAATCTGGAATACTGTTCCTTATCTGAAAACCACACATGTAAGGTTTTAGGTAGACATGTAGCGGAGTATTATCTCATTATAAGATGTGTGAATTACAGAGTATCCACTGAGTGCTACAAGGAGAAAAGCCCCAAGCTCAGGCCTGAGAAGAAATAGGGAGGAAGGTCAGGGAAGGCTTCCTAGAGTAGGGTATAGCCGGGTGAATCTTACAGACGAGTAAGAATTAGTGAAGTAGGAGTGCAGTAAAGGTCATTCCTGACAAAGGGAACGATTGATATCTAGCTTGAGCATATGGGTGAATGGAGTTAGGAACGTGGATTTGAAAATAATATAGCCACCCACTCCAGTGCCCTTTGGTTAATGCTTGCATGGCAGGTTGTAAAAGAAAGTTCAAAGGACAAGATAATACTTTTTATTTTGAACATGTAAAATTCCAAATGCCTATGCAACACCTAGAAGACGCCCAGCATGTGATTAGAAATATAATTATGGAGTTCGGGAGAAAGACCATGGCGTGGTATAGGAGTTATCTGTGGTGTAACTGGCTATTAATGCTTTTGCTTATTAATCAATATTTGTTAAATTTCTGTATTATAGCAAACGGTGTTCTAAATACTGGGGATACACTAGCAAATAACACAAATAAAAATCTGTGTCCTCTTGAGCCAGCAGGTGGCTTGGAGGTTAAGGCACTGGATCCCGTGGTTCAAGTCTCAGACCTGGAGGCTTGAAAAATCACACACGTGGCACTCATGACCAAAATCCCAAGAGGAAACTGGCGGAGAAGGGATTATGGTGTAGCCATCCTCCTTGGTGGCGATTTCTCACGTCCCCCCCCCCCCCCCCGCCCCCGCCCCAGGGAGTACATGCATCCTATAGCAAAAACCAAAAAAGAAAAAAGGAAAAAAAAAAATCTGTGCCCTTTTGGAATTAACTTTGTCATTGAAGAAACCAATCCAGAACAAATGAGAACCAGGTGATGTATTAGAGGCTGCAGGGCTGTCATTGTCTCATTTCCTTTTTTATTAAATTTATACAATGGAAAGTTTTAGCCTATGCAAAGGCAAAGAAAATGGCATCATAAACCCTCTATACCTAGCTTTAATAATAACAATAATTAATGTTATTTTATCTATATCCATTCTACTCTCTTCATCCCAGCACATGATTTGTAAGTAAATCCTGGAAATCATAGCATTTGATTCACAAACACTTACGTATATATCTCTAAAAGATAAGTTTCTTATCATAATGACTATATCATTATCACCCCTAGGAAAATAGTCACAAGTCTTTAAATGTCAGTGTTCAAATTTCCCTGGTTGTTTCATAACTTCTTTAATCTCCAGAAAGAGAGAGAGGGACCCCGCCCCAAGTGAGCATGATCATGCTGTCATGCCTTTTCCTTGGCCTCCCCCCGCCACCCCAGGGTTCTGGACACGCATGCACAAGTGCCTGGAGTGTTCCGCAAGCCCCCAGGGCCAGAACTCAACCCCTAGTCAGCCATTTGGCATCCAGCCACTGATGCACTGCATTTCCACCCCTTCACGACAGGCCCGGTCCTCCTAACTTTCACAGTCAATGTCTTCAAATCAGTATCTAAACAAGTCCTCACATTTCCTTGAAACAGTATCTCTCTTTAGTCTTTTTAAAAATGCATTTCCATTTCTATTATGTCATCATCTTAATTTTTTACCTTGTGTATGTTTTATAATATATTTGTGCAGTAATTATTTATACGTCAGTCATTCTTTTTATTGCCTGAGAGTGTATACACTTGCCAAAGAGAAGACAAAGAGGGAGAGAGAGGGAGAGAGAGAGAGAGAGAGAAAGAGAAAGCTCTCCCCAGTGGGCCATGGTCACACCACATTCCTCTTTCCTCTATTTCTCTCTCTGGTCAGGATTTGGGACATGCACACACATATGCCCAGCACGATTTTTAAGCCATGTTGGTTGGGACTCTAACTGCTGTTGGCCTTGTGGGATCCAGCTGTCCATGGTCAGGGCTGCACTATAGGACCAGCCCTGTGTGCCATTTGCTAAAACATAGAATTTATCACCTACATAGAGAGTGGGACATGGACATATGTTCACAAGTGTCTTAGTCATAGAGGTATAAAATCAAAACGTTTGGTGACTGCCGATCTCCAGCATGTTTTATTTTTCTCTGTATCATTTACTCCTAGCAAAACTTTTCATTTGTTTATTTACATTTTGTCACAAGATCTTATGCAAATTTCCAGGCATACCTCAAAGTTGAAAGAAGCTTATAGTGAACACCCAATTAACCTGCAATTAACCTTCTGCTGTAATTATTATGTATTTTTTACATTTATCTCATCCTTTGTTATCTATCAGCCCACTTATTTATCTTGTTGAGTTTTGAATAAGTTGCAGATATCAGTTTACTTTCCCTGGTACTTCATGGTGCATGTGATTAACTAAAGCTTAGTATTTATCCTTTTTTCTTTTGAAGTAAAGTTTGCGAATGATGAAATGTACAAATCTTTTTTTTAGGTTTGTTGTTATAGGGTGCATGTTCTTGCCAGAGAGAGTCTGAGAGAGACAAAATGAGATTCCCCATGGAGGGATGGCCACACCGCAATCCCTTATCCTCCACTTTCCTCCTGGGATTTTGGACAGGCATGCAAGTGCACCCAGCATGATTTTCAAGCCACCAGGTCCAGGATTCAAACCATGTTTGGCCATGTGAGAGTCCAGCACCTTAACCACCTGCTGACCATGAAACGCACAAATCTTAAATGAACCAATCTATGATTTCCATCAGATGTATCCGTGCAGTCCAGCCCTGTCATGATTACTGAGCACTCGACCTCCTCAGAAACTCACCCCCCTTCTAGTCAGTCACTGTCTTCAGGTGGCAAGCTCATGGTTTATAACCAGGAAGCAGTGGTCCCAGCTCCTGGAAGTTGGGGGCTCACTTTCTTATACCTTGGTCTCTTGGCATGTGTCCTTCCATGTGCCAGTGTCTCCTCTGAAACGAGGCAGCCATTGTTCTGACCGGTTGAGAGCAGGAAGATGTGCATGGAGTGCCGTGACTGTCACTGAGTGGTTTAGTCCAGCTCGTCAGCGTTCACGCTGGATCTGAGAAACTTCCGTCTTTGACAACCTAGATAGAGGTCGTATTCACTCAGTTTGGGAAAACTTCTGATTCTTTTTAAATCTTTTTTAGGTTTCCACTGTATCCAAAAGGCGGGGAGAAGTTGCAGTTTGATTATGGCGTCTATCTTCTGAACAAGAACATAGCACAGGTGAGTAACCCTTCTTCCTTCCTCTTCTCCTTCCCATGTATGCCCTTCTTTCTTGGTTTGCTAGCACTCTTTCTTTAGAACTAAGTACTGCAGTTGACCTTTTCATTAAGCGGTCACTTTAGTAACCGTCAGTAACCTTCTTTTTTGGCCACAGTCGTCCTCTGTGCCAGTGGGACTATGGAGAAACATTAGGTCTGAACTGGAAATCATGCTGCTGAACGCAGAAGCCCTGTTCTTGTTTGTGCTTGCTGAGAGACTGTGCTGTACTTGAAAGTGTGAGCCTCGTCATCGCACCTCCGCGGCTTTCCCAGTAATAGCTTTTTTCTCAGACGTCTTTGAGGGACTTATTTTGCAGTATTGCTTATGGAGCAGAAGTTGGGTATCTATGGAAGGTCCTCAGTGGTCTCCTCACCTGTTATCCAGGGCCTGGAAGAAGAGACCAGGCACCTGTCCTCCCAGCCCATCTTAGATCTTTGTGCCTCTTTCAGCATCCCCACAGTCTGGATCCTACTCAGATAATGCCCTTCCATGTGCCACAATTAGACAGTCGGGTGCCTGGGTTTGTAGTTTCCTGAGAGAAACATGTACCCTATCTTGACTCTGTGTCAAGAGGTAGACCTTGTGTAAACTTCTAGTTGTAAGGAAAACTAGTTTCAGTGTCCCTCCCATTGGCATGTCACATGGGAAAGTATCCATCATTTTGCTGTTATTTAAAGACATTATCACCATGTTCTCAGACCTTCCAGTTTTATAGAGTAAGGTTTGTGAGACTTTGTTTTTATGAGTCTGAGTTGCTTTTTATTCATATGAGTCTTTTTTTATTTTGTTTTTAGAGAGAGATTTTTACTATAGGGTGTGTGCGCTCACTGGAGAGACAGAGACAGAGAGACAGAAAGCAAGAAATCACCAATCCCTTCTTCTCTGGGCTCCTCTCAGGATCATGCGCACACACACACATGCACCCCGTGTGAGGTTTAAGCCACTAGGTCCGGGACTCGAACTGTGGTCGGCTATGTGGAAGTTCAGCGATGTAACCATTATGCCATCTGCTGGTTCCTGTATTCATATGAATCTAAAGACTTGCTTAACAATTTCCTTATTCATGTCTGATCGGTCTAGAATTATCTTTCCATGTCGTGTCATCTTGGCCTTTCTTCCTACCAGCCAAGCTCGGTGATATGTTAGGATTTTTACATTTGGTTTTTCTTAAGACTGGTACCGTTTTCTGAGATTGGATCCGCTGTCTAGTTTGCAGTCCTCAGCTGATTGTTTGCCCCATGGTGTCACTGCTACTTCTGCTCCACTCATGGCCCTCATGCCAAGCAAGCAGCTGTGCTCAACACTTGGCCCAAGACTCACCTTTCCATGTGCCATTCTTCCACAGTGGTGCCTTCCCTGCCTCCATTTTTGGCAGATAAGTATTGCAAAAAGACCAGACTCTAATCTCAAGGCTGTGCCTAGCTCGCACACTGCTGATCTCAGCTGCCGTGCCATGGCCAACACAGCGCTTAGAGAGAATGGCAGGAAGTGCCAAGACTAAGACCACACTGAGGAAGGCTAAGAAGGTCAGTAAGTTAGAGAACACCTCCAGCAAAGCCCACCACTGTGGAAAGAGCATGTGGATGCCAAAATCTAGAGTCTGGAAGTTAAAGTAGCATCATTTGATAGAACTGAAATTAGTTCTGATCTTAGTTTGGAGGTTCTTCTCTCCTGGCTCCAGTTTCTATTTCTTGCCCTAGCTGCATGAGTCCTAAGGTTGGAAGGCTATGGGAAGCTTCTGGGTGAAACCAGCTCCTTCCAAAATGCCTGGATTTCTTCAAAAATCCCTATTTCAAATACACACACACAGACACGTATATGTGTGCACAGACTTACACCTACATGCATACATACTCACACACACTGTTTTCCTCTCACTTCTTTCCTCTCAAGGGCTCGATAGAAATTCCAAAGGATGTTGCACAGTGGTTCTACGAATAGCCCAGCTAGCTTTTGGAGCAAGACCAAGGTGCCCTTCACAGCACACCTGGAGCCCTAGCACCTGTCGGTCCCTACTTGGTAGCATTTCTCCAGTAGCCTCTGACTACTTGCTTCTTAACTACACCAAGGTCACAAGTATGCTGAACTAGTTTATCTGTTTAAGAAACAGATGGCTTCTAGTGATTTTGTATTTTCCCCCAATTTATACTTTTTTCATTGAGATTACATATGTATATGTGTAACCTGCTTAAGATCAACAGGTTAACCACTTGGGGCCAGCAGGTGGCATGGTGGTTAAGGTGCTGGACTTCCACATGGTCAAGCACAGTTTGAGTCCCGGACCTGGCGCCTTGCTTTCTCACTTGCCCTCTCTCTTTGTCTCTGTCTTTGGTGAGCACACGTGCCCTATAGAAAAATTTTAAAATAATAATAAATAAATAAATAAATAAATAAATAAAGCAAAATAAATAATTCTTTTTTAAAAAAATAGGTTTAAACCCGCACAAAGAGTAGTGTTCTTTGGTGTTTGCTTAAGAAGCCTTTTATTTTATTTATCATTATTATTATTGTTTTTAATTTGATCAGAAAGAGAGAAGAGGGGACGTGAGAAAACAAGCTACTAGATCAAGGACTGTGACTGTAGTCGGCCCCATGGGAGTCCAGCACCTTAACCATGCCACCTGCCAGTCCGTTTGTTTTTTTAAATCACTATTGGAGGGGGACAATAAACTTCTTAAAAACAAATATTCTTAGATTTCAGAATTCCCTCTTGAGTGTTTAGAAGGAAACTCTTAGCAAGCTCGTGCTAGTCCATCTTTTTTTCCCCTGCTTCAGTACTGTCTGTTTGATATCTTAGGGAAGGTTTCGTTTTCTCTTCGACCTTACCCCATCACCTTTTCACGTTTTGATTTGTAACAAACCCAATAACCGTTAATTATATGTCTCCTAAACAGGTAGGATAAGAAGAGATAGTTCCAGCTTGTGAAAACTTATTTTCTATTCATTTACACTAATGCACATTGTCAAAGGGAGTTTGTCTTTGCAGCCAGTCTTGTGTGTACCCCATCTCTAGAGATGTGAACAAATCATGCTGTTAAAATGGCCCCACCTCAGTTCTTCACAAGCCACGTTAGTGGAGGTGGATGAAAGCATTGGCATGTGTGAAAGTGCCAGAGAAGAAGGAGTGAAGTCATTCACTACTGCATCCAGAACGTGGCTGAGGATTTGAATAGTCAATAGGACCTTTCATCACAACCAGAAGTAGTAGTAAAATCATTTTTTTGGGAGAGGAAATGACAGAATTTAGTAATATTTGTTACTTCAGTATTTGGGAGCAGTCCAGCCCAAGTTTTGAAAGCACAGGCTTAGGGAGACAGGCCTTCAAGTAGAAACCCTCAAGTGTCGTGTGAAGGGCTGAGAGCCTTGGTAAGCCTGCTCGCCCGCTCATGTCACTGGTGTCTGAAGGGGTGTGTGTGCCGAATCAGGCACGGTGAGCCAGTGAAGCACAGGGCCTTGTTTTCAGTGCCACTTAACTAACATTTGTCAAGTGCCAGCCTTGGTTGGAAATAGCCTTCTTTATTGGCCAGCGTGTAATGCAGTGAAGCAAAGGGCCTTGTTTTCAGTGCCACTTACTTAACTAACATTTGTCAAGTGCCAGCCTTGGTTGGAAATAGCCTTCTTTATTGGCCAGCGTGTAATGCTGTAGGAAAGGCTTGTCAGAGTGCAGGTACAATGTAATTAACATTGATTTAGAAAAACAGGCCCTGCCATAATTCGCAGTAAGCCTGTAAGGCCATTATAGTTGCATTTGTGTAAAGCACAGTTTTTTGCTCTTACTTCCCAGAGCATAAAAAGTAGTAAAACAGGACCAGGTGGGGACACATGGGCAAGGTCCTGGTTCACATTCCGGAATCTCTCTAAGCACATTGGTGCATGTCTGTGATTCAGGCCAGCTGAGACTGAGGGTGGATTGTACACGAAGACACATTGGGGTGCCTCTTTCTCTCTCTTTGTCATCTCTCTTTCTCTCTGTCTCTCTCTGCCTCCTTCTCATGGAAAAAATAAATAAATTCTTAAAAAGTAGTTGGAGCCAGTAAGTGGCATGGTGGTTAAGACACTGGATTCCCAGATGACCGACTGTGGTTTGAGTCCCGGACTGGGTGGCTTGCCTTCTCACCTCCCCCACCTAACCCCAGTCTTTCTCTGGTAAATTCAAAAAATAACAATAATAATAAATAAAATAAGTAATTCTTTTTAAGATAAGACTTTTTTTTTTTTTGAGAGAAAGATTTTCACTATAGGGCGTGTGCACTCACCAGACAGAGACAGAGAGACAGAAAGCGAGAAATCACCCCCCAGGGGGGATGGTCACGCCGCAATCCCTTCTCCTCCATTCTCCTCTCGGGATCTTGGGCATGCACACACACGCGCCCGGCATGAGTTCTAAGCCACCGGGTCTGGGACGCGAACCGTGGTCGACTACGTGGGAGTCCAGTGACATAGCTATTACGCTAACTGCTGGTTCCCTTAAAATAACACTTTTTAAAAAGTAGTAAAAATTGAAGTACTTTTGCCTTACATTTGTGTAGAGATTCATAGTTTGTAAAGTGCATGCATGTACATCCATATGATTCTCATCATCCTGCAAATAAAAAAGTGCAGGTAATGTTAAATGGATGTGAGAACAGTATAACTTTTGACATGTGTCACTCCAACATGGTATCGCGTGACATGAACAGGCTTTGCACAGGTTCCCTTATTTCCATTCCAAGCATGTACTGAATCAAAGAAGACGTTCCCAGATAGAAAAAGTAATGAGAGCTCCTTGAGAGCAGAGAAATAACTGTTTTATACATTATGATATTTTCATTAGGAAGCACAGTGCCTGAAACACTGTTAAATACCAAAGAAGTGTTTAATAAAGGAATGAATGATGATATAGCACCGTCACACAAGTTAAGAAACTGAGATCTAGAAAAGTTAAGTGACTTGAAAGGATAAAGAAATGTTGGTGTTTATAT